AAAAATACGCACCTGAAAGCCCATGTGAACGCAATAGTAGGAAGCAGCCTGCTTGGCATTGCCCACGATGAAGCTCACATGGTCAAAGTTGAGAAACTTGCCCTTGGCCGGCTTGACGCCCTTGTCAGTGTAGGTAGTCATTTTGAGAATTTCAGTTTAACGAAAATTGAGACTCTCTCTCTTATATACCCTCTTGTAGCTTTCTTGTGGTAAAAGGTATCTCCTGTTGATTTCCGACAGCAAGATTCCAAAAATGATAGTGAAAATGCTAAATGGCACTTGAATCAGAGTGTCACTTTAATAGTCGACCTGTTTTCAAGTGTCGTCCGCTAGATTTAATACATCGACTTGTGCGCCACTCTGATAAGTGGCTGAATCACGTTTAGCTACGGCGAAATCTGGCAAGGACAATTCGGAGAGAATCAAAATGCCATTTTAGAGTATAATATTAGTATCGTCGAAATACACTCGTGTTTCAAGTTGGTGGCCGTGCACATACTTGTTTCTACACCTGTGAGCGCACATTACTCAAGGCTTGGGGCTTCTCCAGTCAGCAGTGATGGACACTGTCTGATGATGGACGCTTTCCAACGCATGATGCGCACTTGAGTATTCTGATCATACGATAAGACATTTTTGATGCAATTGACGCATTGCTTGATTTCAGACATTTCGACAATAAATAAAAAAATTATTACCATGACAAAATTGTACTCTTTTGAGATTCTTTTCATTAGAAATTGACATACTTTTTTTTTGTTAGAATTGCACCAAAAAAAAGTTCTCAAACAAATACTTTTTTATTCCTCGAAACGACAATAATTCTACTTTTATAAATGACAGATAAGGGATTATGGAGTGAGTAGGGAGAGACGGTGAAAATTTAGACAGTTGCTTCAGACGCCAAAATGAGGGCGGTCCACTGCCTGGGTGAAATTGGTCGGCTCAGCGATCTTCGACTGTAAAGACAAGTACTGTTAGCTAAGAAAAGGGTTCAATATGTAAAAACTTACAATAAGTCGAGACATCAATGTCGGCTGGCATTTCTGGAATGCTCACATCAAAACGATCCTGGACGCTGTTGAGCACCTTGGCGTCCGTTTCATCGCTGACAAAGGTAATGGCCAGACCTTTGGTTCCAAAACGGCCAGCACGAGCGACACGGTGGAGGTAGGTGTCGCTGTCTTCGGGCATGTCGTAGTTAAAGACAATGTTGACTCGTTCAATGTCCATGCCTCGGCCAAAAAGGTTGGTCGCCACCAGAATACGCTTCTGAAAGTCCTTAAACTGCTGGTAGCGCGAAAGTCTGCAAAAATGTAGAGTTAGAAAATGGTGTTTTGTCTACAAACAACAGTACCTTTCTTCCTGGGTCATGGCGCGGTGGATGGCAATGGCGGGAAAGTTTTGTTCCACAAGCAGGTTGGCGAGAGCGACGCAACGCTGGACACTCTTGACAAAAATGACCACCTAAAAGGAAATGTAAACAGTATTAGTACAGCATTTGACAATTGCTTTCTACCAAATAGTTTCCGTATAAAACTGCCAGCTAATTTCCGAATACTTTAGCACTCAAAAGACATGAGATGATAATCGTAGAGAGTGACTCTAAGCTTCGAGAAGAATGAAAAATCCCAAGGTTGCTCACCTGATTAAACTCGAGATCGTCCAAAATTTGAAAGAGCTTGCGATTCTTTTCGGCGTCCTTGAGCTTGACATAGTACTGCTGCAAGCCGTGCAGGGTAAGTTTGGTTTCGTCGACTGACACTTCCATTGGCTGGTGAGGATAAAGGGCGGGAGTCAGTATGAGATAATCTAGCAAAGGTAGCTAGCTGCCACTTGTAATACAAGCTGTCCAGTCCAAGTTTAACGGTAAACAATACCGCTTGTTGCATATCAAGCATTCATCATCAGCGCTCTTGTCCGAGGGGCTTGTCAACCAAGTGGTTCAACGGAACCAAAACACACACAAGGTGGGACACGCGAGACCATCCACTGGGATGAGCAAGAGGGACAAGTCGGGTCAACCAACGAGCCGCAAGTTGTAACAACGGGCAGACAATTGCAGCCAAGGGCGCGCAATTTTCAGATTGACTAGGTTATTGCAAATTGACATTTGGTGGATCGCAAGACTTGGAAGCGATGCATGACAAGAGTGCCCGATTACACACGCTTGTACTGGAGCAGCAAAACTTGGCAAATGGGTAGGAGAAATGCTTACATCTTGCATAAACTTTTTGCACACGGGTCGAATCTCTTTGGATAGCGTAGCACTAAACATCATGACTTGCTTCTCATGAGGAGTTGATTTGAAAATCTCCTGAACGTCTCGTCGCATGTCTGTGTGGGAAAAAGAATGGTCATGTTGGAATCAAAGCAAAGAGATGTTACGTACCTAGCTGCTCAAGCATCTTGTCGCACTCATCCAAAATAAAGTGCTTGATATTCTTGAGATTGAGTTTTTTGCTGCGAATCAGTGCGAGAATTCGACCTGGTGTTCCGACGACGATATGGGGCGGGTTCATGCGTAGGACTTTTTCATCGTTGGTAATGTTCATGCCGCCGAAAAAGACGGAAACGCGAATGCTGGGCATGTACTTGCTAAAGCGTTCATACTCTTTGGAGATTTGAAACGCAAGCTCTCGTGTGTGACACATGACGAGAACCGAAACCTGGTTGTCCACTGGATCAATCTGCTGCAAAGTGGCAAGAACAAAAACGGCCGTCTTGCCCATGCCAGACTTGGCCTGGCACAAAATGTCCATGCCCAAAATGGCCTGAGGAATACACTCGTGTTGGACCTCGCTGAAAATGCAGACAAGTTAGTGACACGTTTCGAAAAAAAGCACAAACAACTTACCTAGGGTGCTCAAATCCGCAGTCGACAATGGCTCTTAGCAGCTCGGGCTTGAGTAGAAAATCGCGGAATCCACTCGAATGAATGGAAACGTAGCCGGCCTTTTTGGCCGTGTCGTTGCCGGCTCCATTGTTTTGGTTGGCGACGGCCAGGTCGCCGCTGATGGTCGTTTGCTCCTCATCCTCTTCATAGTCGAGAAGATCTTGCTCATTGTCGGCCATGGTTGACGGGTGCTAGGCTGTAAATGGAAATTCTGGGGAGGGGAAAAGGTGCAAGTGAAACGACTCGCCCGGTGTGCTCTGACAATGCGCTTGCCAAACCAAGATGGAGGCGGAGGGAAATCGAGTTGGCCTGTGGCTGTAGGCTGCGGTGGCAGCACTCGTCTCTGTGCCGCCAACACAATGCTGACCGACTCGGGTGTAAATGGAGCCAAAGAGTGGAAATGGGCATTTCAAATCAATTTAATCAACGGAATATTCAACGGCAATTAGACATTATTGGTGGTGAGAAATAGGGTATTCGAGAGGCGAAACACGCTGGGGAAAATGGCGGAAAGGCTGGAAAAGAGCTCGTGCGAGATGCCCTGTAAGAAAACGCGTCAACACTAGTAAACCCACATGAAATGGCCACTTGCCTTGGGTACGACAAACTGTATAGTCTTGTTTTCATTGTCGTTGAGCGAGAGCAGCGACGACATTTCAATCATGAACCCCTTGACGCACTTGAGCACCAGCTCGGCCCGCCGAAGGCACCACTGAATGGTTATGTCCTCGTTCATGTCGTGCAGCAGCAACAGCGGAATGGAAATGTGGGCAATGTCGTAAATGTAGGCAATCTTGAGGACATTTCGCAGGCCCAAAATGACTGGATGGCGAGAATTGATGTCGGGACTCTTGACGGTATCGTCGGTGACCAGGTGAAAGACGACATGTGCCTCTGACAAGTTGGAGTGCTTGGTTATGTAGGCTTCCCCCGTGTTGAGCCGGCTGTAGTCGCCGTCGGCGGCGGCGGCGCCTCGATGCTTGGCGCGGCAAATGTCGGCGCCAATGTGGGCCATTTGGACGTCAAAATCGGCAAAGTGATTCTCGGAAGCGTTGGAGCAAGACTTGGCAAAGTCTAGACAAGAATTAGATCCTAGCAGTATAAAACCTACAGACTTACCCGACTTGTTGGTGAGACAATTGTCGACGAGGCGAACCACTGCCGATAGTGAATTTGAATAGAGCGACATGGCCGTCTGAATTCGCTGCGGCGTGCAAATGTTTTTGCAAAACTTGTTCATGTCGACTGAAATGAGGCGCAAGTTGTGGGTCGTCTTTAGCTGAGCGCCCAGGTTGATGGTGTAGCTTTCCTCCATTGGCCCCTGGTCCTCCTCCTCCTCCTCTTGCTCCACCAACACCGAGTCGATTGGATTGCCAACGTGACCGGTAGTGGCAACTCCCGCGTTTAAATCCTCATAGGTGTTTTTTACCCAGGCGGCAAACTCTCGCTTCTGGTCGCTTCGAACATTGGCAATGACATCTTTCCACTCTTTGAGTCGCTTTTCTGCCAGCAAAATGTTGTTTTTCGTAATCGAGTTGATCTCCCTGTCACTGTACGAGCCACTGAGGAGAATCGACTCTACGTTTTGGTTCTGCTCCCGTGTTAGCTTTTCCAAAAACTCGTCGCGCTCTCGCAGCAGGTTGCGAATCACCTCCGAGTTGTGGTTTTCGAGCTGAATCAGCTGAGGCGTCAGGATGCCCGAGTGGACAATCTGGTGGTACATTAGGTAAAAGTTTTCATCGTGAAAGTTTTTTTGCTGCGTCTTGGCTTGTGAGATGGTCTCGGAATTGTCGTGCCGCACTTGCTGCCAAAAGTCGCGACACTTGGCCATTAGGGCGTCCTTGTGCTCCAGTCGTCGAGCCAACGTCTCACATTGCAGCTGATCAATTTCATTGTCGATGCAAGTCTCGAGCTTTTGCAGTAAATCTGGCAGCAAATGTTGCTCCAGATTGTGCTTTTTCATCAAGAGAAAAGCACGCTCACGAATTGTGATATTGCTCTCTAGTGGAAGTTGAAAGGTTTCGCTTACTGTTGCATTTTCATTTGGTAGACTGTAGGTAAACTCGATGGTCTGCTTTGGGTAGCAAAATGCGTCCATTTTGGTCAACCCCAGGCTTGTGATACTGAATAGTACAAAATGAGCTTTTCTTCGCAGCTAAAGCAGTTGTACAGATTCTGAACCGTCTGGTCAAGTGTTGGCGCAAAGAGCTGGTTCACGTACACAAACTAGAGGTGACCGCTGGTTAGCAATTGTAGTACTAGTTGAAAAAGTTACTTACCAGCGTTTCAGAGGGATCCAAGTTGATAAACTTGCGAATGAGGGCAACAATCTGGCCAATGGTGTAGGTAGAGTCGACTTTAAAGTTTTTCTTTTTAATTATGGGCGTATTGGGAGTTGGATGCAGGACAATGTGCACTGTGTAAATGTGTGTGTGTGAAAAATGTCAACAACGCCCACAGCCTGGTCATTCTTACCCTTGTCTTTTTGTTCTTCCGGTCCTCGAGTCTTGGTTTCTTCCATCATCCATCGACTAGAGACCTCGGTGCATCTCGTAGAAAATCTTACGACAGACGAAACCAAAACAAAACAAGAGCGCAAGTTTACAGACGCCGAGCATAGTTTTGGCAACTTTTAGCAAGATTACAAGGTGGCACTTTACCAACTTTAAATATAAAAATACAACTTTATTCATTTAATCTTGTCAATCATTTGCCTCAGCTCCTGCTCATACTCTTCGGGGTGCTTGTAGTAGTGACCGACGTGCTTCGAGTCCTTCCACACCTTCATTCTCACGGGAATGCCTCGTTTGGTCCATGAATCAGCAACTTCTTTATTGGATGACACTGAGCCCACCGGATCGCGTTCCGACACCAGCAACAGACTAGGCACTCGAAAGTGGTTCATTTCCAAAAACTCTCTTTCCGATTCCTTGTAGTACTTGGTGGAGACAAAGTAAAACAGCTTTAGGTACAGGTGTAGCAGGACAAAGAGCAGCTTTTGAAGCGGCCAAAAGGACGTCAGTGCTCTGGAAAAACCATCGGGAATTGCTGCCAGGTTGGCGGCCGAATCAAAGACGAGAGCTAGAATGAAACGTTTGTTTTAGCGTCTAGAGTGTCTAGCAATCAACTAGTACCTCTAAATAAAGGCGCCATCTTTGCAGCAGCCGCTTTATCCTGCGTCATTTGAACTAGCACCTCGCCAAATTGATATGCGCCCACAGAGAACCCGTGAACTAGTATGTTGGAGTAGTCTGCTGACCGGTTGGCAACAAACTGCACCACCTGCTTTGCATTTTGCATTGTACCATTCTTTGGAAACACGAGCTGCATTGGCAATGTCCGTATCAGCAGGACATCGTAGCCGTATTTGCCGTAAAACTGGGCAAACTTGTCCAAATGCTGACCCTTGGCGAGCATCCACGAAAAGATGAGCACCAGGGTGCGACTTTGCTCATCACTTGAGCGGCCCTTTGAGTTGTCCACAAAGGTTAAATTGTCACTGATTGGTTTTGCGGAAGATGCCTGCAGTCGAAAATGAAATAAATTAGTCGTCTGCAATAAATCACCACCTCCTTACCATTCTGGCCACAGATTGATGCCAGCTGATGCGAGTCGCACGGATGAGCGGCGTTGGTGAGGAGCGCAACGAGCACCACTGACTGAATGCTCGAGCATTACGACTCGGCTGCGCTCCGAGCCTCCTCAAAGCGGTGGCCAACAACATGATCAGGAAATGAGGTGGCTGCACGTGCGAGTGTTGGGCACCAATTGGCCTGCTCGACTGACGGCAGATCAGAGAGACGAACCGAAACTGGACACCGGTGCCTGAAGGAAGCCAATCAGCCTGTAGTGACGTTTAGTGCACTGTGCAGACCTTGTCGATGGCAGCGATTGTTGGTACACAAAGTGCAGCAGACGAGCACGACGAGACAGTGTGCTGCGATGCGCCTGCTCTCTTTTCTACTGCGAATCAACAAGACATATCTTTTGATACACCAGCCTATAAATAGTGCTCGAGTACACGTGAACCTGGGGGAATGTTTATTTTCAAATGTGAACATTACAAAAGAATCAGACATGCAAAATAATAAATGGCAATAAAACAGTGGATTAGTGTGGTGAGAGAGGACAAAATGTCCACAAATAAATAGTCGAGTGTCTCCAAAAGTCATTCCTCTTTTAGAGGCCTCTAAAAGTCATCCTCTTCCGAAGAGTCGGCAAGGTTGTAGTTGACGGGCTTTCGAATGCGCCCCGTTTTGGTTCGAAACTCGGGCGGCAGCTCGTTGAACGTCTCGTCCATGGTCTCGGCCACCGATTTGGTCTTTGATTTCTAACAAAAGAGAGGTTGGCATTACAACATTAGGTTAACATCATTGCTGACAAGCAGCAGATAAAAAATTACCTTTTTTGACGGCTTCTCCTCCTCCGAATCAGACGACTTTTTCTTTTTTCTCGACTTGGCTGCTGGCTTTTTCGCCGCCGCCTTGGTCGGCTTAAAGTCATCCGAGTCACTGGCGTCGTCGTCCGAGGACGCCTTTTTAGGCGGCTTCTTTTTGGCCTTTGGCTTGGCTGCCGGCTTGCTGGCCGTCACCTTGGGTGACGATGGCTTTGGCTGATCAAACGAGTCGTCCGAAGAGTCATTAAACATGGGCTCTCGCGAGAGAAGCTTGTCAATGGCCTCTTGTCGCTCCGAGTTGTCCTTGCTGCTCGTCGTCGACGAGGGACCGGTGGGCGTAAAGATGGAATCAAACAGCTCTTCGCTAGTCTTTTTCTTTTTTTCTGGCTCGGGTTTGCTGGCAAACAGGTCATCGTCGCTGTCAAATTTGGTGCGGGCCGGTGCAGTCTCAGGGGCCGCCGCCGCCGCCGCCACCTTTTCAGCCACCTGTCCATTTTCGCCATTCTTCTTGTCGGCAGCAATGCCATTCTTTTTGCGCACCGGCATCACCTCTTCCTCTGACGAGTCGGTAAAATCGAGCTCCTGCTCCGACTGCTCGCCGTCGCTCTCGTCCGACTCTGACCAAGGATTGCGGCCCTTTTTCTTGCCCTTGCCTGCCGCCCCCTTTTTGGGTACGTGGTCACCGTTGGTGTCTTTGGCTTTGGGTGCTCGCTTTTTCGGCGCCGGCTTTTTCTTTTTCTCCTCGGGCTCGGCTGGCGGCTTGCTTGCCGCCTCGCTGTCGGCAGCTCTGTCCAGCGTCTTGGTAATCAGGCTAAACTTTTTATCAATCAACTGGGGCGATTTGCCAATGCGCTTCTCCAGTGGCACGTAGCCGTCAGAGCTGTCGGAGCTGTCGTCGTCGGCCGTCGAGGGCTTTACAGGACGAGCCTCCTTCCTTTCCTGCTCCTCCGTTTCCTGCTCCATCTTTTCAGCCGCCTTGCTGCTCTCCTGCTGTTGCTGCTGCTTTGGCTTGACCAGCTGGCCCGCCTTTTTAAGTAGTTCATTGTCAATCTTTGGAATGACCCTCTCGCCGTCAGGAGACGGCTTGTGGTCCTCGGTAATGACCATCTTGGCCGCCTTGATGGTGCGCGAGGCAGTTTTGGACATTTTGGCCGTCTTGGCGTCGCCGTTGAGCAGCAGCTCGCGCTCCTGCTTCTCCAGCGTTTTGAGCTCCTCGAGAAAGGCGCGCAGGTCCTCCTCCCAGAGGTCTTCGGGTGACGAGGCGCGCAGCTTGGTCAGTTCGGCCTTTTTCTGGTCTCGCAGCTTGGTCAGCTCGTCGACCTTTTCGCGCAGCATGCTCCGCATGCTCATGTCAATCAGGTAATCAAAGTCGTACTTTTTGTCATGTCCATCGTCCGAGTCCGAGTCGCTGCTCGACTGGACGTCATCGTCCTTTTCCGCGTACCGCTTCTTCCACACCTTGACCGGGTCAGTGTCATAGTTGCGCTTGATGAGCTGGGCAATAAACTCCTTTTTGCGAATATTTTCCATCACCAGAATGCGGTCATTCTTTTCCAGTATAAAGCGCGCCTGGTTCTCCAGCTTGAGCGTCTCGGCGTCGAGAATGCCCTCGTAGTACTTTTTGCGCTTCGAGTAGTGCTCCAGGCGAAGGGGGAAAAACTCGCGCAGTATGTCCTCGGGCGTCTCGTACCTGCGCAGGACGCCGTTGGCGTCAAAGAGCACCATGGACGTCGTCGAGAGGGTCGACTGAATTTTAAACGTCTTGTGCAGGCCGCCGTCCAGCGTCTTGCGCAGATTGTCCTCGCTCATGGTCACGGTAAACTTGACCGTCGCGTCAGTGTGGTACTCCTTGTAGTCGGTAATAAAGGAGGGCATCTTTTCAGTGCCGTTGAGAAACGTCTCCAGCACCGACTCTTTGTACGTCTGCGTCCACACGCGAATCGGCAGCTCGGTAATTTCAAACGACTTGCTCGAGAGAATGGCCGCCTCGCCGTTGACGACAAAGCGCTGCGCGTCCAGCTGCTCAATGGAGCCGGTAAAGCCCTTGAACCAGGGCTTCATCACCTTGACCTCCTCGCCGCGCATCATCCGCCGAATGTTGTCGACAATGTCCCGTGGATTGTAGTTGGGAATCTTGGTGCTCCACCCGGTGCCAATGCCCTCGGCGCCGTTGACCAGCACCATGGGAATGATGGGCACATAGTACTCGGGCTCAATCTTGAGGTTGTCATCGTACAGGTAGTTTAGCAGCGGCTCATCCAGCTGACTAAACAGCTTCCGGGCGAGCGGACTGAGCATGGTAAAGATGTAACGGGCGCTGGCGGCGTCCTTGCCGCCCTGCAGGCGGGTGCCAAACTGGCCAATGGGCATCAGCAGGTTAATGTTGTTGCTGCCGACAAAGTCCTGCGCCAGGTTGATGATGGTCGACATGAGCGAGACCTCGCCGTGGTGGTAGGCGCTGTGCTCGCCCACCGAGCCGGCCAGCTGCGCCACCTTGACCTCGCGCTTGTCGTTGCGCTTGAAGCAGGTAAAGAGCACCTTGCGCTGGCCCGGCTTGAGCCCGTCCACCAGCGACGGAATGGAGCGCTCATTGTCCATGTTGCTAAAGAGAATCAGCTCCTTGTTGACAAAGTCCTTGTACGAGACTTGGCGCGTGTTTTTCTCGTACAAAAACATTTCCGACAGGCCGAGCTCGCGCCTTCGCTTGCGCTCGTCCATCGAGTTGGTCAGCCAGTCTTTGCGCTGCTCGACGCACTTTTTGCTAAACGCCAGCTGCACAAAGTGGTCATCCTCGCTGCCCGTGTAGACAAAGCGAATCCGGTGGCGGTTCATGTCGGAAAAGTACTCTTTGGCCTCGGCCGACGTCGAAGTACCCAAACCTATGTATTGTGGAAAAAAAGTGGTTAGACAGTGCCTAGTTGGAAAAAAAAGACTTGCCCTTGTAGTATTTAATCTTGTAGGTGCGCCAGTTGTGAACCTCCTTTTTCCACTCTTCAAACTCGGGCAAGCTGTAAAACGAGTGCACGTCGTTGCCCTTGCTGGCCTTGACAATCGGCGTGATAAACTCCTCCAAAAAGTTGAGCTTTAGCAGTGACGGCCAATTGTGGTGGATAAAGTTGATTAGCAGCCCCTTAATGTGCGAGCCGTCCTGGTCCTGATCAGTCATAATCATCAGCTTGCCGTAGCGCAGGCTCTTGAGGTCCTCCACGCTCTGGTACGTCTTTTTGTACTGCAGACCGACAATTTTGATAATGTTGTTGATTTCGGCATTCTCGATAATCTGCTTGTGCGAGGCCTCGCGAACGTTGAGCATTTTGCCGCGCAGCGGAAAGACGCCATACTTGTCGCGGCCGACGACGCCCAGGCCGGCCACCACCAGCGACTTGGCCGAGTCGCCCTCGGTGAGAATCAGCGTACAGTCGATCGAGTTTTTGGTGCCGGCGTCATTGGCGTCCTCCAGCTTGGGAATGCCCGTCAGCTTGGCGTGCTTCTTGGCGTGGCACTTTTTCGACAGCTCACTCTGCGCCTTGAACTTGACCCAGGAGAGAATCGCCTCGACGACGCCCACCTTGACGACCGTGTTGAAAAACTTTTCGTTGGGGACGCACTTGGAGCCAAAGCTCTTGCTCTGCAGCGTCATGGTCTCCTTGGTCTGCGAGTCAAAGGTGGGATTCTCAATGAGGCAGTTGACAAAGACCCAGAGGTGGTTGCGAATCTGAAAGGGCTTGACGCTGATGCCCGCCTTGTTTTTCTTTTTAATAATGTCTGCCAGCTTGCCGACAATCTGGTCGGTGACATAGTCGACGTGTTTGCCGCCTCGCGTCGTGGCAATGCTGTTGACAAAGCTGTTTTGCTGAAAGCCTCGGTCGCTGACGGTGGCGGCAATCTCCCAGCGATCATTGACCGCCTCGTAGGCCACCTTGATGGGGTTGCCCACCTCGTCCTCCTTGTCCTTGACAAAAAGCTCCACGTACTCCTTGAAGCCATTCACCATCAATCGCTTTCCATTCAGGTACACCTTGACGCCCTTGGAGGAGCCGGCCACGTCGTAGGCTCGACGCGAAAAGAGCGCCACAATGTCATTGTCCAGCTTGTCCATTTTAAACTTGGACAAGTCAGGCGAAAAGGAGATTCGCGTAAAGTCTTCGCTCGAGTTTTTGGAAATTTTTGCCTCCTTGGCGTTCTTCATGTTGTCCGTCCACACCTGGGAAAAGGACTTGCTGTACTCTTTGTAGGAGGTTTCCACCTTGAAGCGGTTTGAAAAAATGTTGCACAGCTTGGCGCCAAAACCATTGCGCCCGCCGACCACCTTTTTCTCATTGTCGTCGTAGTTGGACGACGTCAGCAGGTGCCCGAAAATGAGCGTCGGCACATAGAGCTTTTCCTCCTGCCGGGTTAGAGGTTAGATTAGATTAGCAAGCGACAACAACACTGTCAGCTAGACACGTACCTTGTGCTCAATCACGGGAATGCCCTTGCCATTGTTGTAAATGACAATTTCATTTTTTTCTCTGTAAAACAATAAAAAATGTTAGCATTTCGCGTCAACATGTCAGACAACACACCAACTTACGGGTCAATGTCAATTTTGATGCAGTTCATCGTCTTGTCACGCTGCTTGTTGTCGGCTGCATTGACGAGAATCTCGTCAAAAATTTTGTACAGTCCAGGAACGTAGGAAATGTCTCGAAAGACCATCTTGCCAACGCCGTCCACCTCTTCCCAGACCCACATTGACTAGGTGCGCAAGAGATTAGATGGGCAAACAACAACAAAAACAAAACCAGCACTGTCAGCTGGTCACGTACCTTGGTCTCCATCTCCACTGAGCCAATGTAGGTGTCAGGTCGAAGGAGGACATGCTCGAGCTGCGTTTTTTTCTGGTAGATGCGTTCAATGCTGAGTTTTTTGCCATTTTGCTTTTTGCCGCCAGCAGTTGCCGCCTCGAGAAAGGCCGCGCCGTCCTCGTCGGAAAAGTCGTCCGTGTCCGACATGGTGATGCAGTGGTGGTGCTCGCTGGCACTGACACGGCACCGGTGCTTTGCCTCGCGAGTGGGAGTGAAACGGTGGCCTCGGAAGCGGTACTCAACAGTTCGGCAGTGGCGGGACAAGCAGACAGACAACTAGGGAGCCGATCACAAACCGACACAAAGCTTGCTGCTCGGCAGTTCTTCAGACACGCGCGCTGCTGCAGTGGACAGACAATGAACGACGACAGTGGCGGCAAAGGGAAATCGCACTGCAGCCGTTGCGAGCCGTCTCGAAAGCCCTCTCTTCAGCCACTACTCTTACTACTTTGGCTACGGCTTTCTTGCTTTTGCTCAACTCTCCCCGTCTCTTGTCTGTCCGTCTGCACTCGTACCACCACCACCGCCACCACCGCTCAGACTCTGCGATTCTGTGCCACCAGGCTGCGATTCTCTGGGCGCCTTTTGAGGCTTTTGGAGGCACAGTGGACATCCGAGTTTGCCCACTGTCGGGAATTTGGCGGCAAAAAAGTTTGAAGCCAAAAAGGGTGCTCTAATCAGGGTCTCTATCGCTGCAAAGGAAAGAGTACCACCAAATTGGTCAGCAATGTCACTCTCATTTTTTTGACAGTACTGTCAAACAACTTTGGCACTAGTGTTGCGCAATCACCATTTTTTCAACTACCCATGACGGTTGTCAGGTGCCGGCAAATGCTGGTAATTTACCAAGTCTGTCACAAGTCTGGCAAAAGTCATATAAAAAGGAATTCACACGAGTGACACCTATACCTTGCCTGGCATCCGGCGGAAGTGCATCCGCCTGTCAGGCAGTGTTGGACGGTACATCCTGCGTCCGGTGCTGCGTTTGTACAGTTAAACTGCTCCCTTTCCTTTCCTGGCCAAGATGCTGTGCCAGCAGTGTCTTGTTCAGCTCCTTCTTTCACTGCTGCTGCTGCTGGATCACTCGGCGCCTGGCGATTTGGCTCTGAATGGCCAGGCGCCCCAGTCTAGACTTGCTGGAGCAAGATGCTGATGCGCCGTGGCATTTGACAGCCTAACGGCACAAGACGCCAGTCGTTGTCGGTGCACTACCACTACAGGCAGTCAACATCGAGTCGATGGCCTTCCATCTGTCTATTAAATAGACTCTATTTCCACTGCTCTTTGCCTCTGTCTGCTCTCACTAGCTTTCTCTCTTGTTTCCAACTCGAATCCTCATCGGCTCTCTCTCTCTCTCTCTCTCTCTGCGAGTCAATCGCCTTGTCTTTGCTGGTCGCACTACTGTCCACCAGGTGCACAGTGCACAGTGCGTTTACTATTCTACTGCGCTGCTTCTGCTGTTCACCAGCACTAGCAAAACCGGTGACACTAGCCTGGCACCGACACACCCCCCACCACATACATCGGCCACTGACGATAACCACCCGAGCTGGACCACAGCTCGCGGTGTCCCCCCTCATTGATGGCCCTCCACTAGCACTCACCACCGCCGCCGCCGTCATTGTCAGTGTTTTGGGCACCATCAACACACCTGCAGACCAGTGTGTTGTCACCACCAGCATGATACACAACAACGAGATAGTCTCCATTGAAGAAGTTCTCAACAAAACTCTGCTGCGCTCGTCTAGTCGCCGCCCGTTTACGCGCAAGTTCATCTTTACCAATCGAAACGCCAACTTAAAGGTGCAAATCTGCGGCACAAATGGAAGTATCGACTCGTGTGAGATCAATGACCACCAGATTGTGGTGGAAAATGAAGCCTTCAACAGTATTCACCGCTGTACCTGGGTGCCGCACGTCTTTGGCCACGAGCGGATATTGTCACTTGAGGAGGCGTCGCAAAGACAACTCACATATCAGCTAACAAGGGAAAATCTGCTAATCATTGAAGGCAAAGGATTCAACCCTTTGCTGCCAGCCTTGTCGGCACTGAATCCTTGCTTTTTAAATCTGGTATGCTAGTGTCTCTTTTCTCCACTTGATTAGTGTTGACCAATCTTATTGTTTCACCAGAACTCAGTCTCTGACAAGCCCAGTTTAGAGGGGCACTACCTGAACGTTTGTGGCTCGCACCAAAGCATCACCGTCAGCAAGGCAATCCTTTCCGACCATTCAAATTCAGTCGTTTCACAGTTTATAAGCAACGTGCCCGAGTTGGTTGCCGACTCGCTGGAAGGCTCAGACTTTGTGTGTTCGGCGCGCTCCTCGACGCAGTCCGATGCCGCCATAATAGCTACGCTCAAATATGGCGGCCATACGCTCACCTTTTCTCTCGGGCTAGACCAGTGGGACGCTCACCTTCGTGTGCAAGTGCAGAATGGGTCTGTTGCCTTTCTTCCTCACAACATGAACCGGTTCAAGGTCACGTACAAGTTTGCCTGATGATGGCAAAATGTTCAAGTTGGTTCGTGCACACGCAAATGACTGAATCAACTACCACTTGACTACACTATTTTCATGCACAGCATGCTGTACATAACTTTTTTGTTGTTGTTGACTATATTGTGATACCTCTTTGCTTGCTGTTACGAATTCATTTCTTTTTTATCATTTCAAGTAAATTTTATTTATTGAACATGTTGTTTGTTTACAAACGAGTCGAACAGTTGGTCGCTTAAAAGTGTAGAAAAATAATAGTATTCAACAATCGCATTGGCAAAAAGAACCAAAAGGGGAAGAGCAAAGAGAAAAGGAGAAAAGAAGAAAAGAAGAGTAAATGAGTAGCCAAATCAAGCAGGCGCAATCAATGTAATTTACTGGAAGCTTGCATTATTGCAGCAGAGAGTTACAACAGAGGTGTGTATTGCTTTGCAAGCAGTGTGGGCATTTGCAAATGAAGGTGATGCAGAGGGGAGAGGGATTGCGGACATGAGGTGAATGAATGGCGAGTGAGAACTGCTCTGCCGACCAGCGTCGACAGAGCATTGTGGTAGTATCACAATAACAGTGGACAGGACTAGGCTGCCTAGCCCTGGGGAGTATCATCGTTTGGGGGCGCCTTCTGTGGGCTCGGACCGGCCGCTCTGCCCTGCCGCCGCCGCCTAGCTGTGCTTGTGCGTGTAGGACTTGGTGGAGGTGCTGCTGTTGCCCACCTCGACGTCATTCTTGCCCACCATGGACGGCCCGTCGGGCATGCAGGAGGTGCCGCCGTCAATGCTCGCCGTCGACTCCTCGGGCGTGCGCGAGATTTCCGTCACCTCCTGGTCGTGCGCTTTGTGCTTGTGGTGAAAGTGCTGCAGCGAGAACCGCCGGTGAGACTTGCGTCCGCCACGGCGCTTGCTAATGTGCGGGTTGTCCTTTCGAATTGATTTGTTCTTTAGTATCTGCAGTTGGGTGTAGACGCGACGTAGCTCTGACTGCTCGGAAAAAGGTGTTTGTTGGGTTAAAAGGTCGAGTGCTTGCATAAAATACTTACGCGAATATCCTCTGGGTCCATGTCTGTCAGATTAATCTCCCCAATGTCAATCTCTCCGTTTGACAGTATGGCCGAATGTATGTTTATGGCGTCTGGTAGCGTGTCGGAAACCTCCGCAGATGATAAATGACGAGATCGGTGGTGAGCAGTGCGTTTCGGCGTTCTTTGGAAAATCTGCAATAGTGTTTAGGTAGTGAGAAAAGGATCACTTTTGCGGCGGTGCAGCAGAAAACTTGCCTTTGGAAAGTACAGTATGCAAATTGTAATACTAATCGTTACTTGGCATCGTATAAAGTACAGCGTCAGAATGTGGTCTGGATGAAGTTCGGGATGAGACCAAACGGAGTGCTTGATAATGTACATCAAAAAGGAGGCGACCGTCTCGAGGATAATGGCAATGGACAGTGTCACCTTTTCTTCGTACACCTCTTTTTGTGCTTTGCGTATTCTATACGTCAGGTAGACGCCGCTCAGGAGAAACAGCAGCTCACCTGAAAAAGGGATACCGGTCATTCATCTGACCCATAGGCCAAAAGCTACATACCAATTTCAGTGACGTAATCCCAGGCCATCTGACGGCAGACGTAGTACTTGAGGCCACTTTGTTCGTACTTTTCATCCAGAATATTCTTGCTGGTAAAGTTGAACACCAAGCCAAAGAAGCTAATGTTGCGCATGTTGTCGATGCCGTCAATGACCAGCGCCGTCCAGGCGGACATGTAGCCAAAAACAATCAGCACAATGCCCAGCAGGTACTTGAGCAGGTCCTTGTCGCGAACGCAGACTCGATGTGCCTTTCGCGTCTGAAACTCTGCGTAGATGCGGTACACCTTGATGATGACAGAGCCGTAGAAAAAGGCAAAGCCTATCTCTCTAAACCAGGGCTCGAGAAAGCAGGTGGTAGTGCTCGACTCGTAGTACCGCAAAATGACCTAGAGAGAAAGACTCTGGTGTTTCAAAGTTGCCAAACATTAGAACCACACTTACGGTAATGTAAATGAGAATAGCGCCAAAGAGAATAGTCTCGAGCATTACCCACCGAGAGGAGGCCACTTTCTGCAAAGAGTATTGAACATTAACTTTAGCCACAATGATCATAACAAACAATCACCTTTTTGTAGCGCAGCTTAAAGACTAGCAGTCCAAAGATGGAGCAGGTAAAGATGCAGAGCAACTGAATGGTGAGGACAATCACGCGGTAGCTGTGAATGAAAGGTGAAGTGACTAATGGAGATGCTGTCCGAGAAACAGTGAAATTGACAGTACCTGTAATTGAATTTGACTTGACAGGGTGCCTTGTTGATGCAGTCGCCCGTGCAGCCAGTTTCGCACGGCATGCACACATAGTTTCGCAAAAAGTGTGAATCGCTGATTGGTCCAATTAGCGTATTGATAAAGGCTTCCTCAACGTCCCGTCCTGTGGTGAAAAAGGGGTAGAGCAGAGTGCACATTATTAGCACGGCGCAGTCACAGCAGTAGTCATCAGCGGGCGAAAGCCAACAATGGGCACAAAGATTTACCATCAAAGATGATTTGCGAGTGAGTATTGTCGAGCCCTGCAACCATGAGCGGTAATGATGTGTTGTTGGGCTGGTAGTAGAAGCCGGCTCGG